ACAGTTACCCATTTCAAAACGATATCTCCATTCAATAATGTATTTTGTCAGAAACGGTAACAGCGAACTACTGGAAAAATTCCTTTTTTTTTTTTTCAAACATTATATATATATACCATTTCAACAAATATACACAGTCTCCCCACTTTACCCTTCCCATTTTCTACTACTGCTACTAATTTTTTTGCAACATTCTCCTCGACCCACGATGACGTTCGTATTAGTGAGCCCCCTACAAGCGGACAACAGTATTTCATGTCGCACTGACGTTCGCTTGAAATTTTGGAATGCCCATATATGTTGACCAGTCAGATAAATGATGGCTCAGGGTTGAAGGGAAGGGGTGTAGTTAGTTCTGGAATTGGGCTGTAGGAGAGTGGTATCAGTTGTTAGATGTAGCAGAGGGAGGAGTGATTTTTTTTGGGGGTGGGTGAATGGGGGATGTCAGATGAAAACATTTCACTAAACTGCAAACCCTAACACACATAACTTTTTCTCTCGTTTTGGACATCATTCTTCACCTATTTTCCACAGAGATTCAAGCAAAGTCACAAACGTAGGCCCACTAACAATAAATAGTCCCTGAACGGATGAAAGTTGAATGTCATAATTGAACGACTTGTAATTCTTGAGGGCGTCGGGCGAGGCGTCCTAAATAACCGCACCAAGTGACGTTTAGCGTCGTCTCTTGTCGCCATATTCAACGTCCAATTACAACAGAGCAATAAATCTACTCGTAGTAGCGAATAGTCGAAATGTTTCCGAGGCTGGCTGAAACATGTGTACAGATGTGTTTTACGCACGCCTGTGAATTGTTCATCTGATAGGTCTCGTTATATAAAGCGCTGATTGAGCAAGGTTAGCTCGCAGTAATGTTACGTATTTAGATGGTCCCTAGGTCATATCTCTCCTCATTCTCTTTTGTTGATTTTACAGTCTGATTCAAAAGATATTTGTAGATGTTCTTTTCGCTTTAACGTAAAAGACACTTATGTTAGGCCAGCTTATGCTTGTTAATACCCTAAAACTCAACGTTAACTATATTTACCATATGATTCAACACTAATCAACTTTTAACATTGTGTGAATGGGTTTAGAAATGTTTTTTTTTAATATTATCCTCCCATTTACGCCTAGGTATGAAGTGATATTTTTAGTTTTTAGTTTTTGTCAAAAAGGGGGAAGTAATTTGCATAAAGTATTAGATATCTCGAGCTTAAACTTTGGAAACGAAACTCAGAAACTTAACACAAATTTATATCTCATTGAACCCAGTACCATTAAAGCCATTAATTTTTCTGCCAAATTTTTAGCTCCTGAAATGATCGTAATAAGATGTTGAGATTACAATGTTTGTAATCAAACATATTTTTCATACCAATCTATGATTGAGGTTACACAAAACCTTTTATTTAAAAAAAATGAAATAATAAATATCAATACGAAGGTGTCTGTCTTTTTGGTTATAGCGCCGTCTAGTACAGGTCCTTGCTGCCCACATCATCAGGGTTGAGTGATCGCCCTGATAATGGAGGCAGCAAGGACCTCTGAATAGTTGATAAACTTCTACGAGGCTACACGGCGTCGTGAGAACCTCAGATCTTTGTTAGAAATATCAGTGATCACTGAACTAATTTTCTCTGTTCCTACAATATTTATAAACTTTATTTTAATTTAATAATTTGTTTTCATTTCACAGGTAAATGGTCTGCGTTACGAGCATCAGAACTTGTCTGCTGGAGGCGTGTGGATGCTGTCCTGCATGTGAGTGTGATGTTATAATTTATTGTAACACCTATGCTCTTTTAATGTCGCTGTGACAACTACATACATTTTTCTAATGAGAGGATCCTTGTGTGTATATAAGTAAATGATTTGGTATTATCCCTGCATTCGAAGGAGGACTGAAGAAAAACCACAAATCATGTGTGAGGTTAATGCTTCTCAGGTATGGGGCAGTCACTCGGTTTGTGGTCAGACGTTTTTGCACATACAAACCAGGGCCAACAGAGGATTTGTCGCTGGAGAGGAAGCAAATTGGAGGGAGGGGGGGCCCTCAGAGTCTGAGGACGTGTCCGCCGAACGCATTTCAAGTGACGCCTCACACTGCTTATAAATTTCGATTTGTACTTTATTCATTTGTCGTGTTTGAAGGAGTCACATTTTGACTTCAGTATTAATTTACCGGACGTAATTTCTGAAAGGACACACGACCAGTGTGTTGGAATCGAAATTATTTTATTATTAGGCTTTTATCTGGTAAATTAATGTTGTTAATTTACGAGGGCACGCTTTGGGAACATTATTTAAGCGTTTATCACAAACCATAAAATATTTATAACTCCCCACTTTACCCTTCCCATTTTCTACTACTGCTACTAATTTTTTTGCAACATTCTCCTCGACCCACGATGACGTTCGTATTAGTGAGCCCCCTACAAGCGGACAACAGTATTTCATGTCGCACTGACGTTCGCTTGAAATTTTGGAATGCCCATATATGTTGACCAGTCAGATAAATGATGGCTCAGGGTTGAAGGGAAGGGGTGTAGTTAGTTCTGGAATTGGGCTGTAGGAGAGTGGTATCAGTTGTTAGATGTAGCAGAGGGAGGAGTGATTTTTTTTGGGGGTGGGTGAATGGGGGATGTCAGATGAAAACATTTCACTAAACTGCAAACCCTAACACACATAACTTTTTCTCTCGTTTTGGACATCATTCTTCACCTATTTTCCACAGAGATTCAAGCAAAGTCACAAACGTAGGCCAACTAACAATAAATAGTCCCTGAACGGATGAAAGTTGAATGTCATAATTGAACGACTTGTAATTCTTGAGGGCGTCGGGCGAGGCGTCCTAAATAACCGCACCAAGTGACGTTTAGCGTCGTCTCTTGTCGCCATATTCAACGTCCAATTACAACAGAGCAATAAATCTACTCGTAGTAGCGAATAGTCGAAATGTTTCCGAGGCTGGCTGAAACATGTGTACAGATGTGTTTTACGCACGCCTGTGAATTGTTCATCTGATAGGTCTCGTTATATAAAGCGCTGATTGAGCAAGGTTAGCTCGCAGTAATGTTACGTATTTAGATGGTCCCTAGGTCATATCTCTCCTCATTCTCTTTTGTTGATTTTACAGTCTGATTCAAAAGATATTTGTAGATGTTCTTTTCGCTTTAACGTAAAGACACTTATGTTAGACCAGCTTATGCTTGTTAATACCCTAAAACTCAACGTTAACTATATTTACCATATGATTCAACACTAATCAACTTTTAACATTGTGTGAATGGGTTTAGAAATGTTTTTTTTTAATATTATCCTCCCATTTACGCCTAGGTATGAAGTGATATTTTTAGTTTTTAGTTTTTGTCAAAAAGGGGGAAGTAATTTGCATAAAGTATTAGATATCTCGAGCTTAAACTTTGGAAACGAAACTCAGAAACTTAACACAAATTTATATCTCATTGAACCCAGTACCATTAAAGCCATTAATTTTTCTGCCAAATTTTTAGCTCCTGAAATGATCGTAATAAGATGTTGAGATTACAATGTTTGTAATCAAACATATTTTTCATACCAATCTATGATTGAGGTTACACAAAACCTTTTATTTAAAAAAAATGAAATAATAAATATCAATACGAAGGTGTCTGTCTTTTTGGTTATAGCGCCGTCTAGTACAGGTCCTTGCTGCCCACATCATCAGGGTTGAGTGATCGCCCTGATAATGGAGGCAGCAAGGACCTCTGAATAGTTGATAAACTTCTACGAGGCTACACGGCGTCGTGAGAACCTCAGATCTTTGTTAGAAATATCAGTGATCACTGAACTAATTTTCTCTGTTCCTACAATATTTATAAACTTTATTTTAATTTAATAATTTGTTTTCATTTCACAGGTAAATGGTCTGCGTTACGAGCATCAGAACTTGTCTGCTGGAGGCGTGTGGATGCTGTCCTGCATGTGAGTGTGATGTTATAATTTATTGTAACACCTGTGCTTTTTTAATGACGCTGTGGCAACTACATACATTTTTCTCATGAGAGGATCCTTGTGTGTATATAAGTAAATGATTTGGTATTATCCCTGCATTCGAAGGAGGACTGAAGAAAAACCACAAATCATGTGTGAGGTTAGTGCTTCTCAGGTATTGGGTAGTCACTCGGTTTGTGGTCAGACGTTTTTGCACATACAAACCAGGGCCAACAGAGGATTTGTCGCTGGAGAGGAAGCAAATTGGAGGGAGGGGGGGCCCTCAGAGTCTGAGGACGTGTCCGCCGAACGCATTTCAAGTGACGCCTCACACTGCTTATAAATTTCGATTTGTACTTTATTCATTTGTCGTGTTTGAAGGAGTCACATTTTGACTTCAGTATTAATTTCCCGGACGTAATTTCTGAAAGGACACACGACCAGTGTGTTGGAATCGAAATTATTTTATTATTAGGCTTTTATCTGGTAAATTAATGTTGTTAATTTACGAGGGCACGCTTTGGGAACATTATTTAAGAGTTTATCACAAACCCTAAAATATTTATAATTTATTTCGTCTTTTTGACTTCGCATCCAATATTCTGCGTTTCTTACGTCCTACAGGACGCAGTTTTCGACACCCCTCAGAGCTTTGTTTCACGTTTAAGTGCAATACCATTAAATGGTTATAAATTCAACGTTGATGTGGAAAGAGCACGACTGTGACACATCTAGTGGTTAATGCTAGAAATTCATATACTTGTCAGGATACTGAGTTCGTAAATACATACAGCCAGAGTAAGGTAAATTAGAATGAGTTTTAAATCTGTCATAAATTGTCCGATATTGGCCTGAACTCCTTCGTGGTAAGTTACATTTCAAGGAATACGCTTTATACAACATGTAATTCAGTTTGAGTGCGTGCGTGCGTGCATGTGTAAGTTTAGGTGTGCTGACAAAATCTTAACGTGTTTGCGGATATTTCGTGAAAAAGGAAATTGGGATAATTTTGTAAATTTTGTGACGCAGTTAAAAGTTGTAGAATTTAAATTCTGAACGCAGATATTCCTACGTGTGACAAGAGTTTTAAACAGCGATACATGAGTCGTTACTGCACTAAAACGCCGCACATAACAAGTAGTTCCAATATTGGAGACGCTGTATAATTGCCAATCGCTAGCCTCCTACCACTGTCCTCAAGTCTGAATGTTGCTTCGCCGTGATTCGCTCTCTTGTGTTGGTACACATGGCCTGGAGATCAAAAGAGCGCTTTTGTGTGGGGGCGGGGGGGTTCTACTGTGCGGTTATAATTTGAAAAGCACTCCTGTACCATTCCCATCACTCCCCCTGCATCCAGGGCGTGATCGAATGACGGTAGTTAGTCATGGAAAAGGAATGTGATAAAACGTTTTAATAAATATGATAAAAATGTTGAGGTTAGGTTAGCAGTTGGCATTGAGAAGTCTAAAAGAGAGAGAGAGAGAGAGACGAGAAAGTATGGGGGAGTAGCTGTTGGCACTACTGTTTTAACGGAAGGGGTCATAGGATTTTAGTTGCGGCTGTTAAGGTCCTCAGGCAGTACCCACTCGTCCTTCTGATAGTGGTAGGTTTAGTAAAGATTGGAAATTTGGTGGGTGGGATAAAATGTGTAGTAGGGAGTATTTGAGCAGGACGCTCGTCCTTATGTTAAGGATAAAGTAAGAGTGAAGGCGTTAGTGTGATGATTGGCATAAAAGACGGAATTTTGAAATTTTGTATTAGGGAAAGCTGAGGCTATTAATTTGGAAGTTTAATACATAATTTAGAAGTTCCTACAGAGGGGAGGGAGATAAATTTTGACGGCGTTAAGGGGTGGTAAATTTTGATTAATTTAAATCGGGAGGGCTGCGTGAGAAGCTTGCAGTGGCAACTTGGAACTTGGGAACCATCTCAGCATTAAATAACGTTTTAAGAATTCAGTCCGAACCGCAAAGAAAACGCTACACTTCACTCCAGTCGTACCAAATAGGGAAGCTGATACGGATGAAATTCGTTTAACAACCTTCATGGGTTTTAGCTAAAATAATACGAATATTATTAAGGTAGAGGTTCTTAAATATCATATAATTAATGTCAAAGGGGAGGCAACACTGCATAGAGTTCGACTTCAAAAATTATTTTAGTCCTGAAGATGAAAGCAGCATATTCCACCGAAACCTCGATAACCTCTTTTCAGACCACACGCTGTCATTAGAGTGTAATCAACATGTAACTGTGCTTACCGTAGGCTTGGATTACAATGTATGTGTGTTCCATTGCAGGTTAATTCCCTGTCAGTCACAAAATTAATGTTTCTCTCCGCACAAATATGGCCGCATACAAACCGGCACATCCACGGCATGTCCGTCCATTTCGGTAACGCTGTTGCTCGTCTCTGCTGTCCTAGCGATATACGGCGTTCAGTGTGAGGCACCTTTATCGAACTCCCAGCGGGGAACACCTATCATCCTTGCGAGCTGTCTTAAATTGAACACGGAAACGTTACTACACCCTGTTTAGAAATGTACGTAACCTCTTCTTCAATTTCCTTCTGTTTTCAATTCTGACTGGCGGTGTTTCTCACGTGTGTATAGGCGTCTCATGATTATTGTTTGTCAAAGAAATTGGTTGATATCCTTTGGACCTGAGATGCCTGCTCGCTGAAAACTATCATATTTTAAGTAAACAGACATTGTGTGTGACTGTTCGCTTCCCTCTCCATCGAAAGCCCATCCCTGATGGAATACTGCATCATAATGACGTACGCAGTC